TTCCCTTGTCACACAACAAGCCAGGTGATAGGTTGAGGGAGTTTTTCTCTTTCTAGACTATTAAATATAGACAGATAGCTAATTTTTTATATATATGTGTGTATGTGTATGTGTGTATGTATCTATAGCTGTATATAGTGGAGCTGGTTGGCATGGCCATCCCTCTGGAGTCAGACTAGGGATGGGGGGGTGCCTAACCTAAGCTGGTATACTGCAGCTGTGTTGCCTTTTACAGCCGCCTTGTTTGTGTTGTTGCCCAAGGAAAGTGGCCTTTTAGGGTTTTGACTAGACACAGTGACATGGGAGGGAGCGAGGGTGCTCCAGACAGGCCTAGCAGTAGGTTTGCACACAGTGGTCAGATAGAATAGTCCAGCTCCTGTCTGCACTTATTTTTTTTCCCTGCACTTGCAGCATCCAGGGTGAAGGTGGTTAACTAACAAATACCTCTGCGTTTGTTCCTTCCCTGTCTGGGTTATCAGTGCTGCTGTTACCCAGCACAAACCCCGTTTATTCCTCTGCTCGCAAATGGGCTAGTCCTCCTTGTGGGCTCCCTCCAGTTATTCTTGCAGTGGGATTAGCGCCTTTTAAGCTGGATGTGTTTTGTGGAAAGGAAATTTCTTGAACCCACTTCCTTTCTAATTTTCAGGCCATCCAGATCTTGGGCGGGATGGGCTACGTGACAGAGATGCCAGCAGAACGGCATTACCGTGATGCTCGTATCACCGAGATCTATGAGGGGACCAGTGAGATCCAAAGACTGGTGATAGCAGGTCAACTGCTGAAGGCGTATCGTAGCTGAAAACACCGACTCGAGCAAGACACTGCCCCAAAGTGCCTCATAACGACACACAACAGCGATCCAGGCTTGGCCCTCTTGAAAGAGGGTAACAGTGGAAGTTTTCCTCACCCATGAGTACTGACCCTCATGTTAAAACGTGCTCATTCGTCTTTGGACAAAGTATGGTGCATGGAAGTCTGTAGCTAGGTTTGTAAGGGGGAGGGAGGAGGCACCTTGTGGTTGTAGAGGGGGTTGTGGGCCTTTTCCTAAGGGGGGGGAGAGGTGTGTTGGGGCTGGTAGAGGCATGATGGCTTTGCTGGTCCGTGAAGTCAGCTGCTCTGCTTGTGCAAGACCCAGCTGTTTCTTGGTTTGCAAGGATTTGTCCCCAAGTGGTACATGATAAGCAGTGCCAAAGTCAAAGCAGAGGTACTGAGAGCTGCATATCATGTGTGCTGTCCCCAGCTGTGTGTTACACTACCTCTTCTGGTCAGAATTGAATGCGTTCCAGTAGTGGGATGCTGCTGTCTGCAAGCTCTTTATTGGAGAGGGGCTGCACTGAGACAATCGTTGCTTGCTACACAAGGGCATGGTGCCCTCGGTTTCAGCAGGGGCTAGGCCGCTAGGCACTACCTACGCACAAAAGGCTCTCATACAGGCTGCACTTGCTGTCTCTGTGGCTGTAAAAACAAAGATTGTGAAGAAAAAACAAAAATCTTATTTCAGCCTCCATGGACCAGCAGCATGGTGTGAGCTGCAAAAGCACAGGCCAGAGAAAAGCTACCATGGCAGAGATAGAGGTAAAAATAAAGGGCAGGGAAAAAAAAAACTCTACCTGTTTAGGCCAGGAACCTGTTCTCAAAGCAGCTGATGTGACACCAATACCTCTCTAACAGAAAAGAAAGCGCGTGAAGTGGCAGCAACAGCCTTTAATCTCTGCTTGTTTTGGGCACCAACTAGGAAATGAGCAGACGATGCAGAAACCCTTACCAGGGAGCTTTAACAGTAGCACGTCCTCAATCAGTTATTTTTGGCAGGAAATAAACTTTGGGACAATAAACAGCAAAAAGAAAGGCTCTAAACTCAGGAAAAGATGGAGCAGATTGAGACTGCAACCTGTACAGTCCACCCTCCTGTCCAAACAATGAACACACTAGCAGTGAATGGTTATTTTTCTGCAGTGTCATTTATTTAGATTTGCATGGAAAGAAAACAGCAGGATTATTACATAAAATACAGCAGATGAGAAAAATAAAACCTGCACTTAAAGGACCAGAAATCCTCATTTTATTTTTTTCCAATGTGATATAGAGTATTTTTTTCCCATTCCTCAAGAGGGAGGTGCAGCAACACCATGGCCTGCACGCCCCAGTTACTGCAGTGCTTCGGTGGTCAAGAGCTAGCACAGGTTTTTTTTCAAGCAGCATAACTAATCCCCTTGCAGGTCGCTAGAGGGCAACGGTGTGTTGGGGCAAAGTCTTGCCTTTCTCCTTGCTGCTCTCACAAACCTAACGATTAACAGCAGCAGCGCCAGGCAGTGACTTCAATATGCATATTTCTAGTGGGGGAAAAAGAAAAAAAAAAAAAAGTGTAATGGTTGTGGAGTTGTTGTGAAGGCTTTGAGGTGCAACCTACGCGCTGCTAGTTTGCTTTCAGCAGCTATTACTACTACCATGATGTTTAAAAGTTCATTTGTATGGCTACGCAGCAGGAAGTGTGGCTTCTCTTGCACGCACGCTCGCGCTCACTTTTTAAAGAGCGCCCCAAAAACCAGAGGGCTGTTTTTCTCCTGGCAGCCACTCAGCGAGAACCGACCTAGTCGCTACAGGAACGTGCTGCTTCCGCGAATGCAGCATTACTGTTGCGTGCACGCGCGGCTTCACTGACCTTGTGGGCCAAGCGCCCGCTGACTCCCAGTGACCCAGAGGAAGCGCGCTGAAGCTGAGGCTGCTGGTCCCCCCGCCATGTAGCTGCTGCTCCTGGCTTGGCTTTACTGATGGCTCATTGCTTTGACTTGCTCCTCTTCCATGACCTGCCTCCTTCATTTACCAACACTAACCAGGTGTAGCTTGGCTTCTCCAGAGCAGAGTGAACATGTACCTGAACCCTTGCAGCGGCTGCCGGGGAGGGGGCAACGCGCACTGAGCTCAAGCCGAGCACGCTGGATTAACCTGCTGCGGTGAGCCACACTAAAGCCTGTGTGAGCCTTTTGCCCTGAACATGGAGCCGCATCAAGTAAGTGACTATTCTGTGGGCCCCCTGCTGCTGTGCCTGTGCCACAGGCTTCTTTTGGGACTGCCAGGACACTGTGCTTGGGTAGCAAGCTTCCTGCTAGCTCTAACAGCAAATGCTGCAGCCACCTTGGCTAATTTTTTTCTTTTTCTTTTCTTTTTTTTTTTTTTTTAACTGACGAGGCTAACAAACAGTTGCATACTTGCTGAGTGCTGCATCTCTGGCAAATTAAATTGCACATTATCAAGTCATAGAAAGGGTGGAGTTGGTGGGGGGGAAACACACACAGCACACCACCATCGATGTACAGCATGATTAACCCTAATTACATTAGGGTGTGTAAGCCTAGGAACACCTTCAGCTACTCCAGTAAGTGTCCCTTGTGTCTTACCCCCCAAAAAAAAAGAAAAAAAAAACAAACATGCTTTAAGAGTAGCTGATCTTTCAAACAGTAATTTTTCAGCTACCTCCCTTGCTGCCACAGGTCCAAAGGGGGGATCAGTAACCCACCGCGCAGCCCTGTGCTCAGCCCTGCTGGTGGGTGAACAGCCCAGGTCTGCCCAAAGCCGACCCCTGCTTCAGAGCAAAGCGCTGGCTCGGCTCAGCGCCCGACAC